GCCCCATCCAGCCTGGCCTTGAACACCTTCAGGGATGGGTCATCCACAACTTCTCTGGGCAACCTGTTCCAGTGCCTCACCACCCTCAGAGTAAATTGCCTCTTGGGGAATGTCTTCTGTTAGGAAGTGGGTGCATCCTGATCCCAGAAGAGAGATACCAGAGTGCCGCAACCTGACGAAAGCTCTTTCTCTGCCTCTTTCCCAAGCTCCTTCCTTTCAGCTGGTCACACTGTCCTGCCTCGGCAAGAGGGGTGCAAAAGGAGGCAGGGCTGCCTGGTTATTTGCGTGGTACACCCAGGTGGGATCCAAAACAAGTGCAAGGATGGTCTTGCCAAAAATGCTGCAAAGCATTGTGGACCGGGCGATGTGTGAATGCCCTTGATGAGATATGTGGGTATCCTGAGAGTACAGTGCCGTGGGGCATGGCCGAGAGAAGGGTGAGGATGTGGCTGTGGGCACCAATGAGGAAGTGAGCCCCAGGATCAGAGGGACCTCAAGACAGCGGCATTAAGTTTAGAGTAGTAGTTGGACCGCTAACTGTGTGTGAGACACACACACAGCCTAAGAGATAAGTCACGACACTTAAAACTTCAGACGAAATTCAGCAGTTTGCCCGTGCACACCTAACTGTTTAAGACAAACTCAATTAAACAAGCAAACCAGAGCTTTCTAGACTAGCTGCAGTCCCTGAGTTGATGCAAACAGAAGTTGCATGTAGAATATACTGCAGTTTCTAACATTTATCTTAAAAAGTATTGGTCATGTAAATCTCTCCATTCTGAAGGGAAATGAATTGTGCAGACAGGAGGAAAGTCACCTGAGAAGTACTGCTGCATGCTAATTTAAAAACAGTGAAATCAAATATTAAGAATTTGAGCAACAGAAAGTAGAACTCAGCCAGCAGGCTCATACAATCCAAGTACAACCTTGTGGTCACCTCCCTTACTTTATTGGCACCTGACTTGGAAATCTTGCTCAGACCTAAGATTGTCTCTGTCAGGTACAGGATAAGAAATTTCAAGCACTGACTGGGGCAAAAAATGAGGTCTAAGGCTGGCTATAATGACCACCCCAAAAATCCTTTCTATTATCTCTTCTACAGCCTCATCTACACAATGAACAAGAGAAGCGAAAGGTTGCAAGAGCTCCACGGGGATGCACTCAGCCAGAAGGGTAAACAGTAGTAAAAAATTATCTTCTGGGATCTCCCCAAGAGACGGAAATAGAGCCGCTGAGAGCCAGCCATGCAAAATGCTGTAGGGTTTGCAACAGCATCAACAGTTGTAAAACTGAGATCAGCCAACAGGTCCGTCTGTGTTAGTGAACCACCTTCCTTCTTCTGCCGGACGGCAGATCATCCGCTACAGCAACCCGTATCGTGCAGGCATATGCTCAGGTATAAACCCAGATTGACGACAACCAGGGAGACCCAAAATACCCAGATAATGGGAACCTTTTCTAAAGACCCCATGGATGAGTTAGCTGGGATGCCTTTTGTCCAGTCCTGGCATTGTGAAGGAAGCCAGGAAAGCAGCTTTTTTAGTTTTGTTACATGCTGCCTTCTACTGTGTAACACACTCCAAAGGCTTTTATTTCTTTTGACAAACTGCTAGTGTTAGAAAAAAGATTACTGTTACTCATTAACTGTTATTCATTTAGTAATAAAAGCCAACAAGCTTTTCGTTATCAGTTGGGAAATGAATACCAAAACCGACAAATTTTATGCTAAAACATGAAAAGTCCAAAGATGTTTAGTGTTTGTCAGAACAAACTGAGAGACAGATTTGTGTTCCATACAAAACCAGATTTATTGAAAATCTTAAGGAAAACAATGGATTACCTAGTTCTGTCTGGCATGCTATCACCTGCTTATCATGATGGCAAATGTTTGTAATAAAAATCAGCTAATAAGCAAACCACTATTTTATACACTAGCTTCAAATTTTATATGCTAACTTCAATCTCATGGATGATTTAAGAAGTACCTTCACATAGAACGTATGTTTTTCTTTTTATTTGCATGTTTGTCACGGCTGGTGTAACTAAGGGGTTAATTAGAATCTTAAATGCTTAGCTGGCATGTTGTGAGATACATCTCACTCTACAAAAAGAGCTTTCTGACATGGGAAAAAGTGGGTTTTTTTTCATTATAATTGCCAGTCTTGTGTATTGGAAGCATGGGAGTCCAAATTAGAGACTGTAAACATTTTTAAATAATCCAACTCCAATTTTCTTTTATTATTTGTAATAACTGAACTCTCTTGTGTTCTTGATGTTCATATTGCCACAATGTTCCTGAAGCTGTACTTACCATGTCAGCTATGTCTACATTATGGCTATAAAGGTTGTATGGAGCGGCACACCAATAAAAAAAAAAAAAAACAGAATAAAAGCAGTAAAATACAGCTGTGTGGCTTTTTAGCCCACCAAAACACCACTGACAGCACCCGCCATTGCAGCAAAGGAGGAAGTAGGCTGCGGTCAGTCAATTCTAAATTTCTTTTTTTTTTTTTTTTTTAACGTCTCACCCCTCATGTTGACTTTAACCTTTGTTCGTTGAGGGGCTTTGCATTTCGTTTTCTTTTCTGGTTATTAATTTTTATGGGGCACTTAACGCCCATGGCAACGCGGCGCGCGCTTTCCACCGCCGTCCCCTCTGCGTGAGGTACGCCACGGCGGCCTGCGGCCCCTCGTCC